ACATCTAGGAACAAAGAATGTAGCCATACTTACAGGATGGTGGACTCTATCCTGGGAAGCAGTGACTCCGAAAAAGATTTGGGTGTAAGGATGGATAATCAGCTGAATCTGAGCTGCCAGTGTGATGCTGTGGCCAAAAGGGCTAATGCAATCCTTGGATGCATAAACAAGGGAATCTCGAGTCGGAGTAGAGAGTTTATTTTACTTCTGTATTTGGCACTGGTGTGATGGCTGCTGGAATACTGTGTCCAGTTCTGGTAGCCACAAATCAAGAAGGATATTGATAAATTGGAGAGGGTTCAGAGAAGAGCCACGAGAATGATTAGCTGATTAGAAAACATGCCTTGAAGTAATAGACTCAAAGAGCTCAATCTATTTAGCTTAACAAAGAGAAGGTGAAGGGGTGACTTGATTGCAATCTATAAATACCGACAGGGGGGGCTCTTCAATTTATAGGTATAACATGATCCAATAGCCGGAAGCTGAAGATAGACAAATTCAGACTGGAAATGAGGCCTAAATTTTTAACAGTGAGAGTAATTAACCATTGGAACAATTTACCAAGGGTTGTGGTCGAGTCTCCATCACTGACAATTTTTAAATCATGATTGGGTGATTTCCTAATAGATCTGCTCTAGGAAATATTTGTGGGAGGGGCCTTCTATGGCCTGTGTTCTGCAGGAGGTCACACTACATGATCACAATGGTCCCTTGTGGCCTTAGAATCTATTAATCTGTACTTCCCCTTTCCTTACCCCACTACAGAAAATTCATAATGAGCTTCCCCTGTTCCTCAGAAAATTGACAGCTCCCCACCCCCAATCTCCTGAAAGTCCATACTGTGCCTAGCCCAACTATCTGCAGGCTTCTTTCCAGTATGATGTGCAGGCTGTTCTTTCTCACATTTTCTCCTTTTCATCTCTTCAGTGCTGCCCGGAAAGAGTGGGTGTAGATGGAAGACATCCTTTATTACATGCTTCCCTGTTGTAAAACAGGTCCAATGGGAGTCCTATCCCAGTGCATGGTGTGTTTTGGGGAGTAAGACCCTACTACAGCTGCCATCTAGTGGCATTATTCCTTAGCATTTTTGTTGCCGACTTTTTTTTTTTTTTTAAACCTGCTTTTAGAGTTTTCCCATGTTTTGGGAGGACTATATATACAAAGTGGTCACATCACTCCTTACTGGATATATAATGTAGCTCTACGTCACTTGAGTGATGATTGGCTAGAGTACACAGAAAGAAAACTTGTCCAGGCTGGATTAGTGCCATATACTTGGGTTGGTTTCTCCATGTCTCCTCAAGAACATAAGAATGGCCATAGTGGGTCAGACCAAAGGTCTATCTAGCACAGTATCCTGTTTTCCAATAGTGGCCAATGCCAGGTGCTTCAGAGGGAATGAACAGAACAGGCAATCATCATGTGATCCATCCCGTCACCCATTCCCAGCTTCTGGAAAACAGAGGCGAGAGACACCATCCCTGCTCATCCTGGCTAATAGCCATTGATGGACCTATCCTCCATGAACTTATCTAGTTCTTTTTTGAACCCTGTTATAGTCTTGGCCTTCACAACATCCTCTGGAAAAGAGTTCCACAGGTTGACTGTGTGTTGTGTGAAGAAATACTTCCTTTTGTTTATGTTAAACATGCTGCCTATTAATTTCATTTGGTGATCCCTAGTTCTTGTGTTGTGAGGAGTAAATAAACACTTCCTTATTTACTTTCTCCACACCAATCATGATTTTATAGACCTCTATCATATCCCCTCTTAGTCATCTCTTTTCCAAGATGAAAAGTCCCAGTCTTATTAATCTCTCCTCATACCGAAGCCGTTCCATACCACTAATCATTTTTGTTGCCTTTTTCTGTACCTTTTCCAATTCCAATATATCTTTTTTGAGATGCGGTGACCAGATCTGCACACAGTATTCAAGATGTGGGCATACCATGGATTTATATAGAGGCAATATGATATTTTCTGTTGTATTATCTATCCCTTTCCTAATGATTCCAATATTCTGTTTGCTTTTTTGACTGCCGCTGCACATTGAGTGGATGTTTTCAGAGAACTATCCACAATGACTTCTAGAGTTGTAACAGCTAATTTAGAACCCACCATTTTATATGTATAGTTGGGATTATGTTTTCCAATGTGCATTACTTTGCATTTATCAACACTGAATTTCATCTGCCATTTTGTTGCCCAGTCACCCAGTTTTGTGAGATCCCTTTGTAACTCTTCATAGTCAGCTTTGGACTTAACTATCTTGACTAGTTTTGTATCATCTGCAAATGTTGTCACCTCACTGTTTACCCCCTTTCCCAGGTCATTTATGAATATGTTGAATAGGACTGGGCCCAGACCCCTAGGGGACACCACTATTTACTTTTCTCCATTCTCAAGTATTACTCCTGTCCCATTTGCAAAATCCATTGCAGGAGAGACCATTTTTCTTAGCGTTATCCAGAGTCCATAGTTGTAAAGAGAGCAATTTTAACAAGAGCCACTATGAGACCCAGGGTGATGGTAATGAAGGTGTAGCGGGGTGAACACCCACTCCAGCCCTGAAGAGGGCTGGGGAAAGGAGCAAAACTCCGGCTGATTGGCGAAGTGGCTGCAGCTGGGGCCATGCCCCAAACAGAGCAACTCGGCCTTATAAGAAGGCCAGGGCAGCCAGAAGCTGAGGAGTCTCACTCTGATTGGAGAGAGAGAGAGGCCTGGCTGCTGGGGACCTCACCTGGGGACCTAGAGTGAGGCAGGGCTGGGGAAAGGCCTTGGGGGCAGGGAAGCCCTAGGCCAGCAACTCCCCAGGCTGCAGGGCCTGGTCCTAGGCCCACAGGGGTATTGGGGTTGCAGAGGGGCAGCCTGAGGGTGGGTAAAGGCAGCCAGTCCAAACCCCTAGTTGCCTGTGATGATTGGCTGATAGACTGCAGTCTGCCCCAGGGCACAGGGGCTAGATGGTGACTGGCAGTAGCCACGACTGAGGCAATGTGGGGATAGAGGTGGGGGTTCCCCTGGGTGGGGAGACCCAGAGAGAAAGTGGGGTACTGCCAGGGGGGCAGCACCCAAGCCAAGTGCACTGGGGTCCGGGAGGGACACGGGGGCCAATGACAGGCGGCACACCTGGCCTGCAGAGGGCTCTCTGACGACTGGTGAGCTAATTCCCAAGACGACCAGCAGGAGGCGCCGCACGGGTGAGTCTGCGTCTGATTACAGGAGGAATGCAGAGATGCTCTTTGGAGACATCAAATGTGTTTCAATAGCTGAAGGCATTCCAGAATTCTCCAAAAGAACCATGAATGATTGCAGGAGTGACTGCCATCCCCTGAGGATGTGGAGGTGAAGGTAAGTTAAGAAGAAAGCTGATGACTGTTAAATAATCAGGAGAGAGAAAACCTGTTACCTGACCCCAATCCTGAGTATAGTGTATGTCGGAGACTTTGTCATTTCATGATTTTTTTTTTTTTTTACTGAGATGAGAATAATGCAGTTTATTCAAAGATTACTAAATATGAAACACAGTAAGGATTTACAGTACATCTTGTTTTTGCCAGATCACTTGTGTGAAATGAGAATATAAAAGGCAGTGATAACTATTTACATGGCATTTTGATGTAATGAATTTAGCTCTTCTTTTGAAGCTAGTTTTAATGTTTGGCTTTGCAAATACTTAACATGTTCTTCTTGCTAGAATGAATAAATAAAGCTTTTTTTATATATTACTATAGTATAATCCTGCACATTAGGGCTAATTTCTAATACAATAACTCCTCACTTAACGTTGTTCCGGTTAATGTTGTTTTGTTGTTACATTGCTGATCAATTAGAGAACATGCTTGTTTAAAGTTGCGCAATGCTCCCTTCTAACGTTTTTTGGCAGCCGCCTGCTTTGTCCACTGCTCGCAGAAAGAGTGGCCCATTGGAGCTAGTTGGTGGGGGCTTGGAACCAGGGTAGACTGGCAGTCCCCCTATCAGCTCCGCTAAGTTCCCTGTGCGGCAGCTGCCCAGCAGGCTATCAATTGCCGGCAGTTTGATTGCTGTGCATGGGGAGGAAGCGAGGTGCTAATGTCCGGGTGTCCCCCTCCCCCTGCTCCTATACCCCATTTCCACAGAGTGCGGGGACACCACAGGGTTTGGGACTGAGTGAGCTTGCTGGCAGCAGCTGCTGTCTCAACTTGCTGATCTACTTTAAAAGGCAGTGTACTTTACTTAGAGTGGGGTCAGCGTACTTAAAGGGGCAATGCGCAACTGTCTCGCTCACACACATGGTGTGAGTGTCTCTCTCTCTCTCTCTCTCTCTCTCTCTCTCTCTCTCTCTCTCACACATACACGGTGTATCTCTGTTTCTCTCTGTCATGCTGTGTCTCCTCTTTCCATTCCTGCTGCCTTGTAGAGTGAGTGTACATTAACAATGAGTTAACCCTTGAGGGCTCAGCCAAGTGCTAGTTCATCATTTAGCAGTGAGGCATTCCCTGGGAAATATCCCTCCCTCTTGCACCCTGTGACTCCACCAAGCTTCACAATCATCATTGCTGTGTACATTATTAAATTGTTTGTTTAAAACTTATAGTGTGTGTGTGTGTGTGTGTGTGTGTGTGTGTGTATATATATATTTTTCGCCAGACAAAAGACATATACACACATTTATATTTTATATATATATATATATATATATATATATATATACAAAAGACATATACACACATTTATATTATATATATATATATATATATATATAATATACACACATTTATATGTCTTTTGTCTGGCGAAAAAAATTTCCCTGGAACCTAACCCACCTATTTACATTAATTCTTATGGGGAAATTGGATTTGCTTAACATAGTTTCACTTAAAGTAGCATTTTTCAGGAACATAACTACAACATTAAGCGAGGAGTTACTGTATACAGACAAGTGTAAAACCGTATGTCCTCTGATATAATACAAATGAGGTAAATCTTCATGTAAGATTATTCAGCATGTTCTGCTACTGAAACGTACAGCTACTAATGATTAGCTTTAGTGCATTTTGGTTGGTGTAAGCTATCCTGAGGTAAAAAAGAGCTTTCATAGGCATTTATAGTTATGAGCATTATTTCAAGTCAGAAGAAATACTAGCCTTCTGCTAATAATCCGCAAAGGGGTGGGTACATCACACTTTCCCAAGGCACTTCTTAATGAAGTGTCCCACTAATTTCTGCGGTCTCTGCTGATACTCCACAAGCACATCATGTGAGCTGCTAATCTGATCCCCTTCAAGTCGATTCAGAAGTGTGACACACACCACAGCAGCTAGAGATAAAAGAAATAGTGTTTGTTAGAAATGACATTTAGGTAACTTTCACAGTGAGAAAGCATGAGAGCATCTTCTATTTGTACACCCCTGTTTGAGGTATCAAAACAGACAAGAGGAGATAAAGCCAAGGAAACTAATAGTTTCAGTGATGGGTTTGAGCAGTTCACAATGAAATCACACCTTATAATAAATAACTAGATTAAGTACCTATTTCACTTTAGATGTTGTTTTAAAATTACTAATAGTTTGAAGCAAACTATAAAGCCATTAGTAAAGTTGATGGAGCTGCTCCAACATATGGTCACATTCAGAACATTCATGGTCATTGCATGATTAGAACCTTTTTCTGAATGGGATTTTTTTTTTCTTCAAGAAGTGTGTCAAGAAGTCTGATTGGTAAAATTGCCTCAGAGAATAAGGGTATGTCTACACAGCAAACACTGTGCATGGGCTAACCTACTTGAGCTAGCTTGAATCAAACTACTGTGGGTAACAATAGTGATGAGGAGAGTAGGTGCAGTGTGGGCTTCCCGAGGAGAAAAAAAATGGGAGAAAAAGAGGTAATAAATTCCTCACAACAAGTCATGCTCTCATATCTCAGACCAATTAGAAAAGGAAGACTTTGTGACCTTAGAACACGGACATAGCAAATGAGAGAGTAACTTAAAATGACTACTCTAAAGTTGTACTAGATCAACTTTTCTTAGGTCACCTACCTAAACTTTAACTACCTCATAACTAAAATTCACAAGAGTCCATACTTTTTTTATTGGGAACCGCATTATTCACCAGGCAACTAAAAACCCTTCTTAATTGTTTCAGAATTGCAAATGCAAATCTAGTTACTCTCTCTCTCTTGATATTTCATTTTGATATGCAAGTAAAGAAAGTGACTATAGTTTCATATACATAGAGGCTACCTGACTGATTAAAGTTACTGCAGTTTCCTATCTGACTTTAAGGCAGTTACAATAGTGCCTTCGGATAGGTTGGTACTTGAATGATTGCTTCTCAATGCAAGGCAAGAGCTGGAATAGCTACTAATCAGGACTAAACTAGATCAGAGCTGTGTGAGGGGGTTTACATAGACCTGGCACACATACACTGCAAAGTTCTAGCAAATCATACTAAAATAAACTTAACAGCATCCATAAATATTTATAATCATATATGCAAATAGTGCAGTATTGTAACTTTCCACTGCAATGAATTTAATGCTTTGAAACTCTGTACACTGTACATTTTCTGCAACACAGATGATTCAGTCTAAATAAAATGCCATGTATCCAATTACCTCTGACACCACTAAGATTACAAATAGCAGCAAAAACTGAAGATTCCATCTCAATGTTTCGGACTCCAGCATCATAAGCTGCCTTCAAATACTGCAATTTCTCTTCTTCAGCATATAAGCAGATTGCACCATCCAGACGGGCTTGGCCTATAAAGCATATAAATATAGATTTTTATTTATTTATTTATTTATGGTACTGATGAAAGTACAGGGGACAGTTTCAGTCTCTAAGGGACACAAGATTGTTACAGTTTCTATACCCTTCCTAATTTTTATCACAGCAGTAAGCTCAGTTTTCACTTAAAAGGCACTCTATAAATGTAATTTATTAGTTATTATTTGAATTTAGGATCAGAGTAATTAGATATGAAAAGACCAACTATTAAATTATCAAATTCATAAACAGGAAATATAGTCCCTCAATGAATTAAGTATCAGATTTTAATTGTGATATTTCCTCTCTGCTAGTTTGATGTGTTGATTACGTTTGAGTTTAACAGTCCCCTAAAAAAGCATCCAGATCTGCTACTGCCTTTCAGATGCAGTGAGGGGAGGAACAATCTCAGCCCTTTTGATGCTTAGAAGATTTTTTTAACATGAGGAGAAATCAAGAGTTTTTTAAAATTGGACATTATTGGTGCCTATTTTTAGGAAAGAGTTAGCTTATTCCAGCTCTTTAGGGCTTCAGCCCCAAAGAAACAGATTTTTTTAATTAAGCAGTGTTAGGCTGCATACAGCCAAAATAAACTTTACAGTTCTCTAGTTACCATATTTTTTGTTTTCGGGAACTGAATTCCCAAAGCTGAGGTTCTCTGCCTGTTTGCAAGTTTTGTAGTAGATTTGGTAGCATCTGTAGGAAACCTGCTGGTTTGCTTTTAGGACCCACTGACTGGACCATGGACTCATTATCCTTCCTAACGGTGCCTGAAGAAAGCCACATATTGACATTGTTCTGCTTGAGATCTGCCTTGAGCACTGCTAGAACCATGGATTGTGTGCCCTCCAAGCAATGCTCTTCTTGCAGTATATCCAGCCACAACTAGAGGCAGAAGTGCCAGATATTTGGGGAGAAAGCTTGTTCTCACAAGATTTCCAGCTCAGTTTGTAGACCTGGGAGGGAAACATCTGAAATTCTGGATGCTTATCTAAATCAATCCCGAATTTAAATCCGTGATGTTTGCCCATCCCAAATGTGGCAGTATTGATGTAACATCCAGTTATCCAATTAATGGTTAATTAAGGATGAATCAGCAACTCTTTCCAGGGCTGCTTACAGAAAATTTCTTCTAGACACATGAACAATTAAAAGAAAAAAATAACCAATAACTCTCATTATCAATTCCACAGTGCACTAATGGTGATTATAGCAACTCCACTAAATAAATACCCTGATAATTCAGTAATCAAAAGATATACAATTTATGAGCTGTCAGTCATTGTCAATTCTTTTTTTAGATAGTCATTTAGGGGGAAAAAACACCACAAAATTACACCTTAATACAGCAAAGGCTTAAATACATGCTTAAATTTAAGCATGTGAGCTGTAGTCTCATTTAGATCAACTGGACTACTCATCTCATTAAAGCTAAGCACATATTTAAGTGCTTTGCTGGACTGGGGCCTAAATCCCCTAATCCAGTTTGATTTGCATATGTTACTGTTTACTAATTTATTTCTATTGTTCTATTGCTAGCCTTACCTTCATAGAAATCCAAAGTGCACATTGTATTTCCAATTACTGTATTGAATTCATTCATCTCCTTACTGCACTGCATCAGTTCCTTAGCTAGTTGGTCATCTAGGTTGGTACTGCGAATTACAGTCTTTCCCAGGATAACCTGTTCAAATTGAGGCTTGAAGGTAGCATCTACTGATTGACTGGTTATTACCACTGAGCCTGGCTCCAGACCTGTTGTAAAAAAAATACATATAGTGAGCTGTTCAGCCTCTCTGCTCGTATGTAAACAAGGTACATTATAGCCCAATCCTGCTCCTACTGAAATAAAAAAGAGTTGCCACTAAATTCAATAGGAGAAGTATTAGGATCTATGTGCATGTTTGTAGTTTATTATTCCAAATGCTTTAAAATAACTCTATAGAGGAGACACAGTATACTGCTAATTAAAAAGGTATTTATATAAAGGACAATACAAAGGGCTGTAAAGTAATCTTAATGGTCTGACAAATCCAAACTGTTAAGGAAATATTTCACATAGGGCATGAATGATCTTTTCTCTTTGCTGCAGATCTCTTCACTCAAGCACATTTTCCTGTCTGGGGAGTGAGATATTGCCTTTTATTGTAAAATTATATAACTCAAAGAATTCTTTAGCTGATGGGTAATTAGGTCTAAGGAAAAATAAGAGTGCTATGTATGACTAAAAACCTGAACATTCTCTCTCTCTCTCTTTCATGATCCAGAATTCTGAACTAAGGCGTGAAAGATAGGAACTCACGTGTCCTATAGCAGAGCTAAGATCCACTCACTGGGACTGTACCAGTATTTTAAAGATGATCTTAAAACCCTAAAAAGGTGTGTGTTTTTTTAAATATTGGACTTGCATTCTTTTTCACTTCTCTATGATGCCCTGAAAGGAATTTCTTCTCCTTTTCTTAATATTAGAACAAACAGGAATGTCAATTTCGGTGCTCCCTTATTTGGATGGAGGACTTCTCTGGGATGTATAATGTTCGCTCTGAGACCTTAATTTAAAAGGTATTATTGCTGAATCTTGAATCTAGTCCCCGTTTATTCAAAATGTTTAATTATTTGAATCAAATAGATATTAACAAAAACAAGCAAAAATTTTACACAGGCTGATTAAAACTCCCTTTCAGTTGTTCAGCTTTCACTCTCTTGATTCTTGTGTCACCATTTCACTAGTTCTCCAGTCATCAGAGAAACATTCAGGCTAGACAGGAACAGAATTATTAATGTACAAACCAAGCAAAATATTAAAAAAAAAAAAAAGTCTTCAGGATTTCTTTATACATCATAAAGAAGGAAAAGAGGGCACAAGTCCAATTTATTTTCCTTTGCAAGTCACCTTTTAACCTCTGCTTTATCTGTAAAGTGTGGGTGGTAATATTACCTAATAAATATTCACCAAACTGTCATGAGCATTAATTAATTTGTAAAGCCCTCTGAAAATGAAATAAGTGTTAGACATTATCATTATTATGCCTCTGTTTTATAAACCTTTAATTACAGAGATGCTTTAATTTCAATAAAAGAGAAATATGAAGGGGAAATACCTATTCCACCAGAGGTGCCAATGCGAATAATGGTTACGTTGGAACACTTGGAGTGATACAGCAGCTTGATCAGCTCATGTAACATGATTGCAATAGAGGGAATGCCCATACCATGCTGAAATGAAATCAGAAAGTCACACTGAACATTAATATACATTATTAACAGAAGAGTCGGGAATTGGAGCAGATCTCTGTAATGAATCACTATGAAAAATACATGCAAAAGTATTCTTGTACAAACCTAACCTATGGGCCAGGGCAGAAGTTTATTGTGGTCAATGGAAAGACTTCTAATGACTTCAATGGACTTTGGATCAGGTCCAGTGTTCCCTAATACCCTGGGTAATGTTAATTTTAAAAACGTTATATTTTCTGTATTCTAAACCTGAGTCCCATTCTAATCTTTTACAGTTACATGCCCTCACAAAGCTTCTACACGGCCCAAGAGCAATGTTCACACTAGTTCTTAATGACCTGAAACACTGGTGATTCTAGCTGAGCTAAAATCTTACAAAAGGCGGAGGCTATGGTATAGTCACAAAGTTCACAAGCCTGAATCTGCTCCCGCTTACATCATGATGTGACACTTCACACCTTGAGGGGAAGAGAGCAGCACAATAGGGCCACAGTTGTGGAGTTGATGCTATGGGCTAGGGGTGGGTTTTCAAAAGTGCTCTTGGGTATGTCCACACTGCAATAAAAAACTCCTGGCACTGAGTCTCAGAGCTGGGCCAACTGACTCGAGCTCACAGGGCTTGGGCTGCAGGGCTAAAAATTGCAGTGTAGGCCTTTGGGCTTGTGCTGGAGCCCAGGTTTGCAGTGGTCTCAGAGTCCAGCCTCCAGTCTGAGTCCCAACATCTACAGTGCAATTTTTAGTCCACACCTTGAGCCCCACAAGTCCAAGTCCCCTGACCCGGGCCAGCTGCAGCTGTGCCATGAGTCTTTTATTGCAGTGTACACATAGTCTATGTGACTTAGCAGCACAAGTACCATGGATTTTAATTGGTACTTGTAGTCCTAAGCCACCTACGTACCTTTTGAAAATCTCACCCTGGATCCTCCGCCATAGCTGAGAAACAGCCACCTTTGTTCCTTCCCCATCTGTACTTAGTGTAAGCAGTCTCTGTGTTGTCCCTAGCATAGGACCAATAGGGTAGAAAACATGCTGCTCATGATTACAAAGGATTGTTGTGGCAGCCAGGAATCACTGGGATGTAGGAATATGCCAGCCATGCCCCTTTTCTCCTTGGAAAGCCATACTACCCTGGGATCTGGAAGGAGAGGTGGCATAAAGCCATTGCATCTATGTGACACAGTGGTTACCCTTACATGGGGGAAATTCTGAAGGAGCTGGCTGAGCCAGCTTTCCGGCTACTTTGCACCACTGAAGTAGACCTGAAAATTTGGATGTATATCCTCTAAAGAAATATTTAAAAGAAATATGCATTTATGTCCCATTTAAAATATGCTTAAATTGTTGATTCAGTTGCAACTACTGCATTGTATATTGAAAAACATTCTGTTCTACTTCCGGAACACTCAAAACAAAAATCAAGGACTAGGCCTTCTCCTTTTCTTTAGAAGCACTGGCAAATATAATTCCTCTTCCTCCCCTCCTCCCCCCACCCCCGCCTCTTAATGCTTAATACTTACACTGACTGATAACACGGGTCCTACTTTGTACATCGCGTAACGGTCAGTTCCTGCACAGATGTTGGGATAGTCAGCGCCGACGCTCCCAAGTCCAAGCTCTTCAGCTATGTAGGTGATAAAAGCTTTCATCCGTGAAGGGCTTCCTCCAACACATACAAACTAGCATGGACAGAATTCAACAAACCACATCAATTATGCAGCTGACTACATGATGCAGCATATTCAAGAACGGGGAAAGACAAATATGATAATGCAAAAGGTTTAATCAGAATTATTCCCAACTACATTATTTTTATTATTACACTCCTCATAGAGGTCTGTAAAGATAAATGTTTGAAAATAAGGCTTAAAATGGTCTCAGAAGTTCTCTGTCATTGCCTGACAATGGAATTTCATTAGTATAGTACAAAATGTAGAACTAGGGCTACATCTATTTAAAATGGCATTTTGTATTGGGGTATGTTTTTAATAATAGGTACCAGAGGCAGAGTGGATGTAAAGGAGAAATTATCTGAATATGTCAAGGGAGGGAGGACTCCATAACTGTATTGGCATATAGAGAACTAGCTAGGAAGGGACCCTGAGGCTGAGATAGCACTTCCCAGTTGGAATACAGTGGTATTGCCAAACCCAAGAGTTCAAACAGCAAGCCTAAATAATACCATGAGATTTATTTTTGATCCAGTATCAACATAGAACCCATTTCCAGGTCACATACATTGTAACACAGTGGTGGGCAACTTGCAGCCTGCAGGCCGCACGTAACCCATCAGGGTAATCTGCTGGCAGGCCGCGAGACAGTGTTTACATTGACCGTCTGCAGGCACGACTGCCCACAGCTCCCAGTGGCCGTGGTTCACCGTTCTTAGCCAATGGGTGCTGCAGGAAGTGGCGTGGGCCACAGCGACGTGCTGGCCGCCGCTTCCCACAGCTCCCATTGGCCAGGAACGGCAAACCGCGGCCACTGGGAGCTGCGGGCTGCCATGCGTGCGGACAGTCAATGTAAACACTGTCTTGCGGTCTACCGGTGGATTACCCTGAAGGGCCACAGGTTGACCACCACTGCTATAACACCTTTGCTAATAGCACTGTGTCCTAAAAAAGAAAGGCAATTAAAGTTACCTCTGACAAATTTAGCTCTGATGGTTAATGTATAAAATATACCTTAAAAATAGGGCTTGCAAATGAGGCACTTTCTGTCACCTCAGGAGTGTTATTTCAGGTATGGGG